CCCCCCCGCCGCCCCCCGCCGCGTACACATGCAATGAAATCTAGCTTAAAAATTGAGTTTTCTTCCCCCGCTTCAATTGAGGACAAGTATGAAAAATTAAATGTTTGATTCTCGCATGTGTCCCCCTCCCCATTCTCTTCCATTGTTGTCCTTCAAAGCTCTGGCAGGAAAATGTATGACACACTCAAAGAGGTGACAGAATAGAGTTTAATGAAGATATGTCATGGGGTTAAGAAGCAGAAAGGGGGGAGTGAGGTGAAAGGAGGAAGCGAAGTAAAGGGGTCAATGGAAGGAACACCCCCTGACTCAATTTGTTCAGACTCTTGTAACAGGACCACAGACTGAGTAACTTATAAATTACAGAAATTTATTTCTCACACTTCCGGAGGCCAGGAAGTCCAAGATCAAGATGCTGTCAGATTTGGTGTCTGGTGAGGGCCTGCTTCTTGGTTTATAGATGATCGTCTTCTGTGTCCTCACGTGCTGGAAAGGGTGAGGGAGCTCTCTGGGGTCTCATTTATAAAGACACTAATCCCATTAAGCCTCACGATCTACTCGCCTCCTAAAGTCCCCACCTGCAAATACCAGCACATTGGGGATTAGGTTTCAACATAGGAATCGTGGGGGACATATTTAGTCAGTGGTACCTTTCAACCCCTAGAATTAGGTGTAGAGGGAGAGGGTTCCCTGACAGGAGGTGTAACTTGTGGAGATGCCCCTAGGGAGGAAGCAGAAGATCCGTGCTCCTTCCTTCTTCACCCTCCTCTTAGTCTGCTGGCTTCTACTGCTATCTCCCAAGGGGCCAGAGGGCCAGAACCTGGTGGATGCAGGTGGTGGAGGTCAGCCTCCCAGGGCACAGATCCCGCTGGAAAAGCCGCAAAGTAATCTGAAGGGCAACCAGAGACTATAGTTAGCACATCTGCCTTCAGAGTCTAAAATAACTTTTTCCAGTAGATGTCGCTTTCAAGACTGCAGCGGAGCAGCTTTGTTTCCTCAGATGCTTTCCCTGGGGACCAGGTGTCATGGGGAATTGCTTAGCTTGTGCTATGGAGCTTTTGTAATCCTGTTAGTGACTGGAAGCTTCCTGTTGTTTTTCAGATGCTTTTAAACTAAGTGTTTTAGTTTTTCTATCGTATGCCTGCCATTACAAGGCCACTTTGAAAGGTTTCATTATGCTTCATGGTGGTGAACCAATCTGCCTCAGTATCACAGGGAACTGTATCTAAATGACTTCCATGGCATTATGTTCAGAGGTAGCTTGATGTAGAGAAATGGGCATTTCTAGAGTTTTGCAAATGGAAATTATGTGCCTAGAAGCAATTGAGAAATTAAAAAGTGGTGTGCTGTGAGGCAGCGGGTGTAACTGACATCACCAAGCTTGGATCTGGGCCGTTTGGGGTCTGCACCGTCTGGGGTCTACTCCGTCTTAGGTCTGCTCCTGGCTCCTTGCACTTGTTCTATGACCATGCATCTCTGTAAGGTGGCAGCACTAACAAAGACCTTCTCCTTAGGCAAACTTCAGTCAGGCCACTCTGAGCCCTCTTTTGACAAGATTTGGACCTTGGTCCCTATACTGTCTTTGGCCTGCCTCGCCCAGTTTTACCAAGAATCCTGCCAAATTGGTTTAGAGAGGATCTCACCAGCTGTGATATCTGATCACCCCAGAGTACCTTCAGCAAAAATCCTCTTTTCTGTTGGTTTAATGACAATCCCCCCACCCCGACCCTTGATGTTTCCTCTGGGTAATTTTTGGCCACTGATCTTCTCGTTCTGCTTGTTTGCCATAAATCCCCAGGTGTCTTTGCCTTATTCGAAGGTGAGCCTCCTCTCTCTCTATTACAGTAGTCCTGAATAAAGTCATCCTTACCATTGTAACAAGCGTTAGGATGAGGTTTTCCTTAGCATTACCTACCATAAAACCTTGGTCTTGTTTGAACCCTCAAGGACCTGTAGACCAGCCTCACCCACGTGGAGCTTACTAGGAGCAGTGCGCTCACCTGTTGGTGGGCTGGTTCTCGTGGTTATGAAGCCCTGCCTTGATCTCAATTTGGCCTGTCTTTACAACCCGTTCCCTCCCCACTAAGTGAATAAATTAGCTTCTCAAATTTTAGCCATCTTAATGATGGCTATATTGTCTTGCTTTATTGAACGGGTTTCTAAGCCTGGGTGAACCTACATTTTGGACTCTGGGATATTGTTACTGTAGAGGGTTGCATTAGGGTGATGCCCCTGGGGGTTGAATCTGTGTGGACTCTTGTCTTTATTCTGTAAATTCCTGCATTGCTCTGCTTCAAATTCTAAGTCCTTTGTTTCCTTCCTCTGCTGTTAGCTCTTGCTGATGCCTTGTTTGATAACAATTTTATAAATGGCACATTTCTTTTTCTTTCATGGAGTCAAGTGCTTGGGCTTTGTGAAAGCTGTTTGTCACTCAGAAGTCTTTTTTTTTTTTTTTTTTAATTTCCAGGTTGATGGCTGTGTTCCAGATGTTAGCATTATCAGAAGCCTGACATCCACATGGTGAGCAGTTTACACTCTTATATACGTTCTGTACGCTTTGAAGGACATTCTAGGTTCATCAAGGGTATATTAAATACATTTGCTGTTTCATTTATGTTTATCATATAGCCCTAAATCTGTGCCTAGTGTTTGTTGATTTTCATCCTTATTTTTTCTGCCATTACTTCATTCATGGTTATATTTGAAAATGGTAACTTACATATAAGATCAAAACAACCAAAGTCATTTGTTTGAAGAAGAATTTTGGGGCGAGGATATAAAAAGAAAATTGGATTTACTTTTAAATATTTCTATATGATTCTCTGAAAAGATAAAAACTATATTTGTTAAAGATCAACACAATACTATTATCATGTGTAAAAAATGAACAATAATTCACTTCTTAATATCACTAAATATCCATGTTCAGATTTTCTTGATTTTCTTATAAATATTTTTCCAGAATTAGTTAAAAATATCTCAGGGTAATCAAAGGCTTTAAACGAAGTTCACATATTGCTTTTGGTTGACATGTCTCTTAAGTCTCTTTTAATATGTATGTTTCACGTTCCTCTTTTATTTTTCCTTATAATATATTCGGTGAAGAAGCTTGACTTTTTGTCTTTGGAGTTCCCCACGTTACAGATTTTGCTGCTAACGTCCCTGTGTTATTTAACGTGTTTTATTGTTCCCCAAATTTCCTATAAACTAAAGGCTCGATCAGATTCAGGTTCAATTTTTTGGTAAAAGTATTTCATAAGTGATAGTGTAACTTCTGTCAGGTGACACATTCCAACTCTTTTTGAAATCTTAATATTGACAGGTGCTGTTAATCTAATCATTCATTATTAGGGTCCCTATCAGTTTTTTTTCCTCATAGTTTGAGTAACCATTGATGATTCGTAATGGATGCCTACATCATTCTTTATTTAGGGTTTATGAAAAGATGATACTCTTATTCTGTCATTCGTTCTGTATTTATTTAAAGGAAAATTTCTATAAAGAACTTTATTTAAACTTTTTTAAAAAAATTACCTTGGAGGTATAGTTTATGTATACAAGACAGAATAATGGCTTTATTGTTTCCTCTTATTTACCAGAATAATGAATTGGTTCCATATTATCCTTCGAAGATGATCAATGAGTTTTTTTAAAAAAAGTTATCATTATGAACTCTTGGACTGTTGACATAGTTGACATTGGGATAAGGATTTGGTAGAAACTAATAAAAAATAGCCTATTTGTTTAGATGTTTAGATTCTACTTAATAGATGTTTCTAGACAATAAGAGAAAGGAGAGAAGGAGAGATGAATGAAAAAGGAAGAGACCAGAAATCTATGAGTGTAATTGAATGAGGATAGAACTAGGATAAAGAAATAGGATGCTAACAATAAGAGATGGAGGAAAAGGAACCATCTGAGGAGGAGAGGACTAAGGGGTGGTTAGGGAGGTGATGGGCAGTGAGGGAGTGTTGTGAGGATCCAGGCTGCATAGGGCCTCCTAGGCCATTGTAAGGACTTTGGGGGCTATTGGATAGACGTGATCTTACGTAATGCCGATGGCTGTTTTCATGCCGCGATGGCAGAGTTGAGTAGTTGCGACAGAGACTGTATGTCCCACAAAGCCTGAAATATTTCCTGTTTGGCCTTTTACCAAAACCAGTTAGTTGACCTCTAGGCTAGGAGGATGAATAAGCTCTCAGAATAGGGATCACACAGAAATATTCCTCATCGCTGAAATGCCGTTCAGCTGCTAGTACATGTGGATGTGAAATTCTGTGGCTCACCAATTGTAGCTTAAAGTTAATAAATAACTTTATATCTCTTTGGTCATTCTTCTGCATGTTAGATGACATTATCTTTATACTTGAAATATAATTCAACATGGTAGGTTCACTTTATGTATAGTGTCGTTTTACTGGGTAGATGGTTGGATATTGGTAATCCTGAAGTTTAGCACATTGAGACCCGATTTGCTCTACTCCTCTTCCTTAGATAGTATGAAACCTTCTCTTCCATATGTGCGTACTATTATGTGGTTTGTTTTGTTTTTGTGTATTCAAAATTCTCCATCCTTTCAGTGAATGTCTCATGTTAAGGGTTTTCAAAATACGTAGACTTGCATATTTTCCCCTAAATGGAACTCAGCTAGTTTTATCTAAGCTATTCCTTTTGTCTGTTGACTATATACTGTGTGCTACATTATTATGCATGGCTGTGGAATTCTTTATGTAAAAAGAAATTGAAATAGATTTAAAATATAAAGGACTTTTCTTTCGTAATTGCATCTTAATGTAATAAAAACCAGAGTGTAATTATTAAAAATGATAGAAAAAAGAATTAAAACAATAAAATTGCTTAGCAAAGATCCTGTTTCATAATGCGTTCAGAAATAATTGGTATCATAATGTATAATTAACCATCTTTCTTTGAAGCATGAAGCTTGGGTGGGCAGAGGACCTTTTAAGAGTTGGTGATGTCTGAATTAGTTCCTATGGCGGCACTTCGGAACCTGTGCACAGATTGTAGCATCGTGCAGCCTTCCTTGTTAGTTTTTTTTGGGGGGGGGATGTAGGGGCAGTGGGATTGAGGAAGATACTAAAAGAAGGCTAGGACAGAGGGTGCTCTGATGCTTGACCGGACACCCACTACTGCCCCGGGTTGGTCAGGGAAGATAGGAGGGGGGAAGCTCCTCAATATGGGTTGTGGCTTTAGCTCAGACCCCACGGAAATTTCCTGGGGAGTCGGAGCCGACCAGGTGTCAAGTTTTCCTGGGGCTTTTGCTTAAAACAAGCTGAGAAGCCTCCTTGGCTCATTTGTAGCCCTACTAGACCTACCCTTTAATCTGACCCCGTGGATCTTACTGCTGAGATGACCACGAATGGTAAGTCCAAGGGATGCACCAGCAGGGAAAAGAGGGAAAGGGAATGGACTCCAAAGCCCAGAACCCGAGCCTCAGTTTCCCCATGGCTCACCTTGGTGCTAATTGGCTGAGAACTGGGAGACTAGAACATGCAAAATAGTAAGTAAAAGTACTGGGAGAGAACATTCCAGGCAGACCCAACCTTTTATTTGCTACTCTTTTGGTTCAAGAGTTCCTTGCCCACGACCGGCATGTTCAGACTCCTTCTCAGAGAGATGGTGGTGGTGTCGGATGTGGTTCATTGTCCCCTGGTGGCTGAATACCTTAGCCCCAGCCTGTTGGGGGGAGTCAGCTCTGTGTAACTGTGAAGAGGCTGTTGTCAAAACAGTCACACCGGAGTTTATCTTTTGAAAGAGTCAAATTAAGGGGTGGTGGGGGCCGGGGGGTTGTGGAGATGGGGAGGGATGTGGGAGGCAGCAGTGCCTAGTACAATAATTTGAAAGAGACTATTGCTGCTCAAAAATTTTGGGTCTCTTCTTTGGAAATACCTTTTAAAGTCTGGGGCATATTCTTTGAAATATCTTCATTAGTGGCAAACCTTTCTCTTTTTGGGTGGTTTTGCTTTTTGGTAAAATTCTCAATGCAGTTGCCCTCCCAGTTGGTTTTTTATATCCCTTCTTGTCCATAGAGTAGCCAGAAGTATCTAAATAACACTCAAATCTTTTTCTTCGGCTTTGAACTTCCTGTGACCTCCTATGACCATGGATTTGAAAACCAGGCTCTGCCGTGGGTGCCAGGCCTCAAGTTGATTCGGCCTCACCTCCCTCTCACCTCAACTCTTCCTAACTTGGGTGATTCTCACACTTTCTTTGTGGGACTAGAACGCAGCCAGCCTCAAGCCTTCCTCCTACATGCCAGGATCCCTCCAGTTCCGCCTGGCCAGCCCTTCACTTCCTGGATAGCTCTGCTCCAATGTCACCTCCTCAGATCAGCCTCCCTGAGAATCAGATGTGAAGTAGCAGCTCCTCCACACACACTCTCCCCAGTGCCCCCATCACCTCCCATTACAACTGTTCTAGTTCTCATCATAGTACTTGGGATCATCAGAAGTCTCTCTGTTCAGCGGTGTGTTCATTGCTTGTTGTTCCCAAGGTCATCAGTGGCCGATTGCCTCAGTCAGAGGTTGTCAGAGCGTGGGCACTCGCATTCAGAGACAAGTCTGCTATGCAGGGTAAATTTGTCAGTTGGATAGTATCTTATAAATAGTTTCGAAGATGACTATACTGAGAGAATAGTTCAGATTCAGAAATATGTGTTTCGATCTATCTCGATAACAAAACCAAGCCAAACCAAGACGTTTCCTTATCAAACCCTGCATGCTGCAGTGGTCCACAGTGTGCAGGCTTGTAACACAGGCTGTCTCTCTGCCTGGGCTTTTAGCCCTCGGTAGCCACCCCTTCGCCTCAGCACATATTTACTTGGGTAATGAGGAGATTTGCATAGAGCAGGGCCTCTCGACCTCAGGACTGCTGATAATGTGGACTGGGTTGTCCTTTGTGGTGCAGGCTGTCCTATGTGCTGCAGGATGTTTGGCAGTATCCCTGGCCTCTGCCCATTAGATGCCAGTACGCTGCCCTAGTTATGACAACTAAAGTGTCTCCAGCAAATGTCCCTGGGGAGGGGGCGTGAAATCTCCATGGTGGAGAACACCCAAGAGTCTGCAAATAACCTTTAATTACCACCCTTTATCACTTCTCCATTAATGTGGGTCAAATTTCTGAGTGTATAAGAAAGTACATCGAAACAATGGCATGTTGTTCAAGTTCGGATTATAATGATGACTGAAGGATTTTTTTTTTTGTAATCTACAATTTGTGGTCTTAGTTTACTTGTCATCATTGTCCCTAGTTTCATCATTTATAAAATATGTCCCCTTCAAGGAGGATGTTCTTGACTTTTGTGTGAATTTGATACTTAAAATCACAGTCTTGCCTGGGAGAAATCTTGAAGGATCTTTGGGCAATACCTGTGCAATTAATATTGACATCATTATCATCTTGTTCATCCCTGTTATTCTGACAGTGAGGAAACTAAGGCCCATGAGAAGGACAGTGATGCACCCAGGTCATGGTTAACGCCAGAGCGATGTCTATCGAGG